CTTGTGGAATATCGGCTTCGACGATTTTCTTGCGATACCAATACCATCCGGATGTACTCTGAACGCGTATGCTGATGACGGCTTATTACTGGTGGAATCTGATACTAGGGCGGGGCTTGAGAGATTAGCCAATAGATGTTTGAACTTGATATCTCAATGGGGTGAACGTAATCGCTTAACTTTTGCACCCAACAAAACCTTCCAGCTACTTTTAAAAGGTAACCTCAAATCACCACCGAGCATTAGATTTGACAATGTTACTGTAAAAAATAAAACTACAGTGTGTTATCTAGGATTAGTTTTAGAAAGAAACTTTTCATTTATCGAACATATTAAAATAATTAATGAAAAGTCTAAAAAGAGTTTCTGTGCATTGACAAGGATATCAACTGCGACATGGGGTCTATCATTTAATACATTAAAGATCATATACGGAGCTACTTATTTAGGTTCTATCTGCTATGGTGCACCTGTATGGGCCGATAGGGCGACCGTAGGCGCTGTCCGTCGCAAACTGTTACAAGGCCAACGACTTGCACTGATATTCTTGTGTAAGGCATATAGGACGGTTAGCACTGAGGCTTTGCCGGTGTTGGCGGGTGTGCTTCCGGTCGATCTCGAGGTGCAGAGACGTGCAGCCATGTACTATTCAAGACAACAAAACATGGAATGCGACTTTTTGGGCGCGCGGGATCGCGGTAAAATTACAAGATTGCTTCAACAGCAGCCCGATGTCTATAATGACCTCATAGACGAATGGCAACAACGCTGGGATGAATCATCCAAGGGGCGCCATCTTTACCAATTCTTTCCGTCTGTTCGCGAACGGTTGTCGAGGATATGGCTTGAGGTGGATCACTGTGTCGCTCAATTTCTTACGGGTCATGGTAACTTTAAGAGCAAGCTTTATTCATTTAAATTAGTCGAGTCACCGTTGTGTCAATGCTCAACACCTAACTCTCACTATGAACAGTCTGCTCATCATATCCTCTGGGAATGTAGTCTTTGGTATAATGAACGTAATATAATGCTGAATAGCTTGCAGGTGACATCTGGGGCGGTATACTATGGGGATCTTGTGTCAACTAGGGTGAATTTCCGTGCGTTTAGGCGATTCTGCCATACATATTATAGAAATCAAACATAGCTCACGTAGGACCCGTAATATTTGTGGCCGTGGTGCTTCCCTGTTTAAAAGGGTGTATGCCCATTTTACTTCATTTTGTCTCCCGCTTTGCTAAGGAGGGAAGTGGATTTACTGTATTTCCAACTCCTCCAATTTTCTTCTGATTAATTTCGTTGCGGGTTCCAAGACAGTTTAATTTCTTCCTGGGACTTCCCGAGTGTCATAACTCGGTGTGTTCGTGGGTCACTGCTGTGGATCCTGGTGTACAGGAGTTACAGTGGTGGGCGTGTGGGTGGGATTAGTCCCTAAAAAAAAAAAGTTATCCCCCAGGCTTTTGAGTGCCACCGGGGCACTCTCGCGGCTCTTGCCCAACTTGGGGGGGCCCAATGCATCCTGCCGAAAGCTGTATACGGGGATCGTACGGTCTATAGCACTCTCCGGATCACCAGTATGGGCAAACACTCTGACGGCCCGAAATATCACGATCTTGCGAAGGCCGCAACGTGTGATGGCTATCAGAGTGATAAGAGGGTACCGTACGATCTCCTTCGAGGCGGCCAGCCTATTTGCCGGATCCGCACCCTGGGATCTAGATGCAGTACTCCTTGCGATACAGTATCGGTGGTGCAGGGATGCTCTAGATCGGGGTGAACTACCAGTGCCTCGAGAAGTAGAGGCATACCGGGCAGAGCTCCACCAGATCTTGGTGGCGGAGTGGGACAAACGGCTTGCGCGGCCCAGTGCGGGGCACGCCGCAATAGCGGCGGTAAGACCCGTCCTACGAGAGTGGCTGGAGAGGAAACACGGAGCTCTCACCTTCCGGATGACACAGGTGCTTTCCGGACATGGTTGCTTCGGCAAGTACTTGTGTCGGATCGGCCGGGAGCCGACGTCACGGTGCCATCACTGTGACGACTGTCCTGACGACACATCGCTGCACACGCTGGCGGAATGCTCATCTTGGGCTAGCCAGCGTCGTGATCTTATCGCGGCAGTCAGTTCTGCGGGTGGCCTCTCGCTTCCGATCTTGGTTTTATCCATGGTCCGCACCGAGAGTGCATGGAGCGCCTTCGCTTCCTTTTGCGAACATGTGATGTCCGCAAAGGAAGCGGCAGGACGGAAGAGAGAACGCAACATCGCGCCGGAGGGCACTTGTCGATCTCCGGCCACCTTAGGAAGTGGCCTGCGGGCGACGACTTCGGGGAATTCGTCGTCTGAACAGATACGGAAAACCTTTCATACCGGCTGACGCAGGTGATCAACGGGAAAGGTTGTTTCGGAGATCACCTGTGTCTGATCGGCAAGGAGCCAACGCCTGGCAACGCCGCCAACGGCCCTCCACACGTTGGCAGAATGCCCGGCGTGGGTGGAGTAGAGGCGTGACCTCGTGGTGGCCATCGGAGTGGGAGGCCTCTCGCTCGCTTGTATGATTGATGCCATGGTACGGAGCGAGAGTGCGTGGAACTCCGCCGTCTCCTTCTGCGAGCAAGTTATGCTTGCGAAGGAGATGGTGGAGCGGGACCGGAAGAGGTTTAGAACTCTCCCGGCCCGCCAGGCTCGGGAACGGGCCAGGTACCGCAGACAACTCGGACGCTGGAGGTCGCAGAACGACCTCCGTCCTCCGTAGGCGCAGGCCTGGGGGTGACAGGTGAGGCCATCTGTCACCCTTGCAGAAGCAGGCCGGGGTGGCGGCGAGACGCGCTGCGGAGCGCGCGTGCCCAAAAGGGGAGAGAGGAGCACCAAGGGAACATGGGGGTTCCCACAGAGGAGGGGGTCATCTACCCGCCGTAGATGCCCCGGGGTACGTCGGGGTACCAGGGATTTCCTATCTAGGGTACCTGGTTCCCCGGCTACTGGTACCCGAGACGGCGTGCGGGTTTTAGTCGGCTCGAGTCCGACATAGCCACCGGTAGGCGGTATCCGAGGGGATTTCCACACGGAAAAAAAAAGGTGGAAATTTTTGTAAAAGCAATTTCTGCATGAGATTTTACTGACTTCCATGATGAAAGACGTATGATTAGCGCAGTATCATTAATAGATTTTTCTATGTCTAAAAATACGGTAGTGTCTTATGCCACGTACTTACTAAGGCGTGTACTTGTAGATACTTTTTACATATACTACAGTCGTCACAAAATAAGAAGCCCGTTTTGACATTTGTCATGGTGGCGTAACTAGTGGTTAACCATACGACTCGGTGGACGATACTTACGACAAATCGATTCAAGCTTGTAGAGTATTTGATTGATTTGACTATACATACTGAAGCCTATGTATGTGACTTACTCGTTACATTTTTAGGCTTTAATGAGGAAATAATCATCATTAATGACTAAAACCCCAAAAATAAATTATAGAGATACTGTCTGACAGTTCTGGCAGGTAAATTGGGGAGAGGCTCAATGAGATTACCTACCACAATATCCGATTCTTAAGAGCCCGACATTACTTTGTATTGACAAATCGATTACAGTTTTACAGACTCTATGTATGTTACTGTAAATGCAAAAGACAAATCAAGATCGGTAAAAACAATTGAACTCACTTAAGTAAAGACAAATATATAACACATATGTTACTGAAGCTAGCTTCAGTAACATATGAGTGAAAACAATAGGAATATTAATCGGTAAAACAGGTCGTATATACACCTTGTTACAGTATCAACACATACATATAACAAAAAAACAGTTGTCATTAGTGCAGACTTGTATGGCGCGTATCGTAAATAGTAAAACACATCTGGATTGAAATGGTAGGTTATTAATAAGTTCGATAATTTGTTCGTTTTACTGATTATTCATATACAAGTGAATGTGAAGTCGCAACACCAAACAAAAACAAACCAAAATGTTTTATTTCGTTACCAAAAATGTGTAAAACAATATTCGTGATTGGAGCTTCCCTTTAAGCAAATAATGCCCAATATTAGGAGACTTCGCTCTTCCAGAGCATGCTTGTTACAGAGTTGGTATACGATTGTATTCAATTGATTCTCACAAACTTACTTAAATTAATCAATCGTAGCGATATTTACAAGTCAAGGAGCACAAAAAGGAATTCCACTTCGACTTTTGGTTACCTTTTTTTTGACAAATTATGTCAAAACTAGTGAATACTAGTGATGCCGATCGATAGGCTACTATCGATGGACTATCGATAGTTCGTGACAGACACTAAATAAACCTGTGCAACTATGTGGCGTGTATAAAAATCTCATTGGTTATATTGATATTAAACCTTATTCAATACTATGGAAAAATAAACAAGTATTGATAGTATCGATACTCTTGATAATAAAGTTGTCAGGGACGAAAATAGTATCGATAGCATAGCGACTATCAAGTATTAATATTATCGATACTATTGTAAATTATCAATAGTATTACCACATTTTGTACAATCTATTTCCTGATTTTCAAGGTCAACTATCGATAGTTCGGCATCACTAGTCAAAACCTCAAATGAAAACTGTTTCAAGATGGCGATTAGTGAGCAGATCTTTAAAAAAACAACATAGGTATTTAAACACTTGTGAATATATAAAAAGAGACAGATAGATAGATAGAGATATAGATATTGGCATAGCCATTCTGTCTGTACCTCATCTCTCCTTCCCCGGAGTAATATGTCCGAAATTGAAGCTATCAAAGATCTAAATATCAACGCTACTGTAGAAAGTTAAGTTTTAGTAATTGAAATATGTATATAATATAAAATTCTAAAAAGGACTGAAATTACTTACTGAATAGGTACTCTTTATTGCACACCGAAAAAAAGTATTGTATACTCTAAGACGTTTCTTTTTTTTAGCTTTATTAGTCCCTAAGGTAAGGTAGGTCAATAATTTTAACAATAGTTATTGCTTCCACAGTGCTGATCGGGGCGTCAGTGAGCAGTATTTATTTGATTTTACAAAAAATGACGAAGTTGACGCTTGGCAAGAACAATCTGATACAGTGCGAGATGTTGGAATGTCCAAAGCAGTATTGGTTATTCACAAAAATATGGGCTTTCGAAGAGCAATATTTTTCGCCCTCTTGAATCCGCAACTTAATGGAGCCGGGTTCGCCGGAATACGAGCTATAAGGTCATACGATTTAACGGGTTACACAAAACTTCAAATCATGTGTAGAGGTCAGGGGCAAAATAACGGATTTAAAGTAATTTTGAGGCATAAAGGATTGAACGACGAGCCCAATTATTCATTTGAGCAATATTTTCAGGTAACAATAATAAATTACATAAGTTGTAACTATTTCACTAAAAAATATTGCTTTTCTAATTAGTATGATGAATAAATATTTAAGTAATTAGACATAAATGTTATTACGTACATACTGTATATTTCTAAGTAAGTAGGTACCGTAAAATGCTGCAACTTTGCCTGGATTTCGAAGATTTTTGTTCACATGTCGGAACCTATTTATTATTATGACTTTTAATGAGTTTAAGACGGAAAACAGACCTTATATCAAGCCAAGTAGAACCAACATCTCTTTGAATCATGCTGTTTTTCGGAATTACAAGCACTCAAATCCGTAGGCAAAGTTGTAGGTGAAAGACGCAACTTTGCCTAGAAGAATATATCCCAATAAATAAAACCATTATCATTTTCAGTTTTCTTTTTCGGTTGCTTATGACACCGTGCTGGTCCCGGCAGTCCGATTATTGCCATAAAGGTACTAATTTTTTTTTCAATGCTAATAGTCAAAGTTGTAGCAGGTACCACAAACTTTCCATAGAAAATATCCCTGACTGTAGGGTTGTCTCAAACAAAAACATTATTTCATTAATATTTTTATTTACTTGTTTTCAAAAATTAAAGAGATTGCTTCTTACGAGGATAAAATTACATCGCAAATGCAATGCTTTTTTGGCAATAATGTCTCATAGTTACAAATAACAAACAATCAATTTTCATAACATGGCTTTACCAGAAAATATTAATATTTTCGATTACGGTATTAACTTAGTTATCCTAATACAAAATCTTTAAATAAAATAAAAATATCGTAAATTATGTAGTAACAATACTAATTTAAGTACAAGTCTTATCTCTCTAAAAAATAAATGATATTCAACTTTCAGGAACACAACGTAGGAACAAAATTCAAAACTTTGGTATTCAACAAACATCTATAGAAAAATATATAAAATGCTAATAATAGCTACCCGTTTATCCAAAATCTTGTATACATACTTCTAGGAACACCTTATAATTATGAAAAAAAAACCATCGCGCTCTTAAAAAATCTGTTTCAGGTAGTATTTTAGTTAACAAAATCAATTTAATCTATTTATGAATAGGAACATATTACGAAATATAGTAACATAATCATTTAAAAAATACTTCAATATAAGAACTATAGGTACGTAATTATAAAAACAAATATTTTGGAGCATACATACGTAGGTACTCAAAACATAAAAACACTTAAAAATAATCTTAAACAAAAATAAAAAATATTGAAATCATTCAAATGTGACCACTGAAAAAGATTGAAAATTAATGAAAATGTTCGTCTGATTGTAGGCAATAACATTTTTACTTATTGTATGTTATACTTATCAAAATCGAAATTAAATATGAAATGTCCTCGTCGGGAAATTTGGGGATCAGGTAATACTGCAATAATATCATTTAAATCATGTACAGCACATATGTCTTCAATGTTAGGGTAAGTGAAGACTGTTCGATTATCACTTTTAGCATTTTTGACTTTTCGAACAAATTTCACCGTGGGAATTTGTTGATAAAACATTGCCTATAAAATGTTTAACGCTTTTTTTCGAAGCGAATTTAGCTATTATCCAGCTATTTTCTTGAAGTCTAGGACCTTCCTCATGAAAATTAATATCACTTAGTCCGAAAGGGCATCTGTTTTCTTGTTCAATGTTTTCCTGTTCTTCTTGTTCTTGTAAACATGACGCAATGTAATTATCAAAATTTTCGTAGTCGGAGTCGTCTGCAGCATGAAAAGAAGTTTCCGATGTCAGGCTTGAGTCACTTTGGTAAATAAGTTTCTTTTTTTTTTTAATTGTAAATGACTGTCGTTGTGAAGTACCAGCTTGTCTTCTTTTTCTTTTATTTATTTGTGTTTTTGTTATATCTCTTAAAACGATTCCTTTTTCAGGGGAAGCTTCCTTTATAACTATATTAGACGTAATTATTATCTTGGGTTTCTTATTCTGGTTTGGGTTTTTAAATTGTTCTGGATTAACTCCTTTTGGCTGCAGGCATTCTGGTGCGTCTTCGTAAAATGGAGTATTCATTTTGGATTTTTTTGGCAAATTCTTCAAACAATGCACGATTTCATTTGAATCTACCGCTAAAGGGTGTAAATAAATGTTTATGGCAGTTATGCAAAGCCTACGTAGGTTTTCAGGATTTTTAAGCTTCGACGATGAACTATGTAACTGTGTCGAGTTTTCTTCCAAGGTAGCACCTTTGTCTAACTCGTAGGTATCAATTAATCCAGGGTTTTGAGTTTCAGCGTACTTTATTTTCTTTTTGACAGTAGTTATTTTCGATGGTCCTGGTTTGGTTCCCATTGAATCATTTTTCTCTCTTTTTTTAGTTATTTTTGTATCCTTCTTCATCTTTTTAGCTTTTGCTAACTCTTCTGCTTCTTCAGTCGATATAGATTTACCAGGTACAACAGTAAGTTTGCTGTTTAGGCCTGTTTTCATTGGCTGCGACCGTCTGTTTCTTTGTAAGAACTCCAGAAGGCTGACATCAAACTGTTGAGTATTTTCTTCTTGAACTGTTGGTATTTTTAACATCACTCTTGAGGGATTGAAAGAAAATATTCCAGACCCTTCAAATCCTTTACAAATGTTGGTCTCTTTTGTCATATCTATTTTAGTCATTAGCTCCTGCAGTAATTGTGGGAAATGACATTTATTAATTGTGCTTACAGTGCTGTATGTAGCTTTATAATTTGTTAAAATTTCACGCCAAAGTCGTTTCATAGGTCCAAAAAATGCAACATCTAGCGGTTGAGTCAGGTGTGTCGCATTTTTTGGAAGAAAAACAAATCTTATGTTTTCACTTTGACATAATTGAATTGTATCAACGCTTAGGTGCGATGCCAAGTTATCACCAATAACTAGTTTAATACCGTCTCGGGACCTAGCCCATGGCAAAACTATAGTCGTAAACCAATCATCAAAACACATCATATCGAACCATCCAGATTTGGTTCGGTTATACCGGGCATTTTTTGGACCATTTTCGCACCACCTAGTCCACAAATGTTCGGCCTTGTAAACCACATAAGGTGGTAAGCAATATCCGTCAGCAGTTCCGCTGAACATTATTGATACTGCACTTTTGCTCGCATTAATGACCCTTTCAGGGTGTTTAGTCCCTCTTTTAAAAATACATTTTTTAGATCCGGGGTCGTCGCTTAAGTTTGTCTCATCGAAATTGAGAATATTGCTGGCGGGAACGTCTTTAAGAGAAGTTTCAAGATTCTTGTAAAATTCATTAATTTCCTCAACTGTTTTTGCAGCACGGCTTTTTTTAATATTTTGTGTTGCCCTTTGCGAAAAATTGTGTCGCTGTAAGAAAGCACGGGCCCAGCGTTCCCCTGGCATTTTTCCATTAAAAAGATGATCTTTTCCGCTTTTCAATATGTAGTTGTATACTACAATACGTAAATCTAAAAGAGTGAGAGGACAACCAAATTCAGCTGAAAGATTTACTACATCTGCGATGTGGACTTCTTCCTCAGTTGACAGCACTGTAGGTCGACCAAATGATTTGTTGTGAATATTTTTAGATTTGTTGACAATAGTCCGACGCGGTATCCCAAACTGATTTTCCGCTTCGTAAGAAGAAATTACTTTATTTCGCACGAGATCTGCAGCAACTTCCAACATTTCCTTTGAGTAATCTGCATAATTGCGAGCTCCTGGTTTTCTCCTGCTTTGTTTTTTCTTGTTTCCCATTTTTCATGTAACTGCAAAAAAAGAATTAACAACACAATTCAAAATCACGCCTGTATTCATCAGTTATGTTTTTTTAAGTCCTATGTAATAAGAGGCGAGTCTATTGCCAGCTCCTTAGTTGCAAAATTATCGACAGAGGGGTCGTGGTTGTAAGTCTAATTGTCATATACCGGGCACAATTTCAGATTTTTTATTAGCCATTAAATCGTTTTTGATTTGTCTTCTGTTTGATCGTCGGTATAAAAATAGAGATTCAAGGAAATCATATTATAAAACAATAATTAATAAATTTGACAAGAGACAACCCTAGACCCAGGCAAAGTTGTGTCACTCTACTTTCCAAAACAGTGCACAACATTGCCTACTAAGTTATTTTGATGAAACGGTATCCTTTTCATAGAAATATCAAACAATACGTAAAATAGACAGTATTTTCTTACCTTGGAACGTTTTCTCTGCTTGAAAACACCTTTTCTCTAGTTGAAACTGCAAAAGTTACAGGTCACTAAAAACGTTCACCCACGCGCGCCGGTGTTTGTCGCACAACTGGCAGCGTGGCAATGAAGTTACTATTGTAAAAAATTAAAAATATGTTGCCCTAATAATGTTAAGTTACTACCAAATGGTAGAAAATAATAAAAAACTAAGTGAATGTGAAATATCATAATTGAAACAAAATAGGTAAAGTTGGGTTTACTTGGCAAAGTTGCAGCATTTTACGGTACCTGTTTCTTGCAGTAAATCTAAAGTAACAACTTGTTTTCAGGCTCCCAAGGACGAATTTGCTATATGCAATCTTAAATTTTCCGAATTTAAAGCCTACTACAGAGGAAAAAGAGTCAACAATAACGAAACTTTGGATTTGTCTCAAATTACAAGTCTTGGTATACAAATGTATGGTGGGGTCTATCAACCAGTCAAGCAGAAGGGACCTGCAACTTTAGAAATCGATTGGATAAAAGCTGTTTAAAGAAATTCTTTGTACATTTGCAGATAAAGTAACGTTTATTTTAGGTAATAAATATTTTTAGGAAGAATGAAATGTTGGTTTACATTAAAAAATAATTAATATCATGTCAGCCCCGGGGAACTTTTTTCGAATCGAAGGCTTTTGTTATGTTTAAGCAAACTGCACAAGCTCCCTTGGTCTCGATCGCCTGTGCCCACTGGTGAGTTATATACAAGAAGATTAACACCGACCCCGACGAAAACAGTATTGTCGGTCATTAAGTAGCTGGTGATGTAAGTACTGGAGGAGTTTGTTATAGAATTAATTATGGATTTCATAATTTTGGAGAACAAGGGGGTTATGGCTATAGGACTGTAGTTGGACGGGTCCGATCGGTCACCTTATTTAGGGTTCAGGTGCACAAACGCTACCTTCCAGGAGTTCGGGATCACGATTTGAGAGTAAGAAAGTTGAAAAAGCGTGTTACAATAGATGCCAAGCCTGGAGTACACGTCTCTAGCACGATAGGAGAGATCACATCGGGCCCACTGGACTTATGAATATCGAGGGCAAAGAGTGCTTTACGTACTGATTCCTGGGTAAATCGGGTTTCTGGCATACAGCTCTGGCAACGCGATATCGTCGGTGGTACGTTTCCCCCGTAGACCATAGTCGAGTTGGATGCAAAGAGTTTGCCAAGAAAATTGGCTTTCTCCTTGGCATCAATGACCAACGAATTGTTTCCTATCTGCAGGTTACAAAAATTCCTACTTTCGAATATAAGATCCCTAAGATCGGGTGCACAAACGCTACCATCCAGGAGTTCGGGACCACGCTTTGGGGGTAAGAGATTTGCAAACCGGTGCCAACGATACAACCTTCAGCGCGATACTAGAGATTTCATCGGACTTATTGACTGAAACACGGGGACCTTACGCTTCAAACCGGGACTTATGGAAGCCCTAAACTCCGAGAACACGTAAGGAAGAAAGAAGAAAAGAAATAACTAATGTACTATATAACTACATGATCACTGGAATACTGCTTTACATTTTATTCAAAAGTATATGATTATGATGCTAAGGTGTGAATTTTGTTGCATTCGTACAAATCTGAAAGCTATTTATTTATAAGCTTATTATAAAGCAAGTAGGGATTTCAGGATAGGGTCAGTAACCTTCGTCCAACCCTCTCACAATTTAAAAGTCCAGGGTTTTCTTATTACTTACATAATTTTTTTTTAGAACATGCCTATATCAGCTAATAATGTATTTAGGACGAGACGGTAGGTAACGGTTTAAGGGAGTTTATGGATACTAAAGCATTTTATATGAAACATTCATATATTTTACGTCTTATAGTTTTTGCTGCCAGTTAGATACGATCGTGTTATTCAAATTTATAATATAAATTAACAGTTCAGTTTTCTTTCAAAGACGGCTTAACATGGTCAAAATGTTTTTGACTTTCAGGTACAGTCGAGTTCTTTAATATTTGACCATGTTCATGAATCAAAAATATATAGGCAATGGTAGGTTTCATAATATTCTAAAAAGCTTTTCTTTACAATAAATTGCAAACACTCCGTGACATTATAAATATATAAGTACATAATATCAATAATATTTTTTTTCATTTTTTTTTTAAGTTTTGAACAAATACTACTTCTTGAGTGGAGACCGCGTCTCGGCGAATGTGGTTTAGGACGCCCACAGGCCAGGTGGATTTCACGATTTGCGCAAGATCGATCTAAGTGGCGTGCAATAGGAGAGGCTTATGTCCAGCAGTGGATTGCAATAGGCTGATGATGATGGTGATGACATATAGTCTGCGTTGACCCTAAGATTTCCTATGCGTTGACGCTAAGATTGCCTAAAACCTAATTTATCAAATAATACAGATGCTAATTTAACTTAATTTCGTTGCGGGTTCCAAGACAGTTTAATTTCTTCCTGGGACTTCCCGAGTGTCATAACTCGGTGTGTTCGTGGGTCACTGCTGTGGATCCTGGTGTACAGGAGTTACAGTGGTGGGCGTGTGGGTGGGATTACTCCCATGATACTCCAGGCTCCTGAGTACCCGAGGAGCAGGAGATCCGAAGGGATTTTCCACCCCGTCAACAAAAAAAAGGTTGCACCTACTAAATATATTGAAATTTAGAGAATTTAGATATTTATGTGCAGAAGAGTAGTCATATATTATTGACTGCGCTACTGCAACATATTTATGAACAATTTATATAACATTTTATTGATGTATAAGTGTGTATGAAACTATATGATCATTTTAACCCTTACAATATTTTGAAACATTGGCACTGCCAATATATTATTGAACGCGACTGTACCTGTTCTTTTTTTTCCAGAAAAGGTAGACATACTTACAGGTAGAAGTCAGCTAGCCTAAGAATAGCCATCTTCCGTTAGACTTAGTTTGTAAGCTTCTTCTAACTACGTAAATAAAATACTTTCAATCTTTAGGAGTGCTACAGACTTCATTTAACCAATTGAACTGTTTTTATAGTTTTTCTCGAAACTATAATTTTCTGTCGCTGCCTATATTTTTGCAGTTCTAGCACCCAAATAACACATCTATTAGATATCTATCTAAAAGTGCACTGATGCACTTAAAGAACCAATTTAGTTCAAGTTCAAATTCAGTGCAAGTTGACAGAATTTCACAATGGCGTTATACATTTTTCCTAAATTCATATTTAAAAAATTAGTAAAGGATTTTACTTTAGTTTTTTTAACCGTACGAAGAGTCGAGTAAAATATTTTACATTAATTGCTTTATACACGAAACTTGAAAAACGCACATCGCTTTTGATTCTTTATCAAAAGTTTATCTATCATCATTTCCTTTGCTTTGTGAAATGAAGTATAATATGCAATAACTAGAAAAAAAAATGAAAGTCCGCCTATCCCCCCCATTATCATTTGGACTACTAATTGATGGTATGAAGATTCTAATAATAAAATAAAATTGAACAAATGTAAAGATCACGTAATAATAACTTTATTTATCTAGAATATAATTTTGTTATCACTAGATATTATCATTATACACTCAAAACCAAAACCCAGGCCTTCGTTATGAAATAAATGCTTGCTTGAGTTTTATCGTTGTCGAGTCGGCAGTAATAAGGTAAGGGCAGTCATAGCGTCAGGGAATAGAGAATGGTAGTTGACCAGAGGGACGTACGCTGCTGTTATGACTCTGCCGGCAAACCAGCGCCCGTGTAATGTGTTTACTGATGCTACCGCCGTCGCAATCGTTGGGCATTTGCAGTATACGTTTCCTTGAGGTGAAGCTTTGTCCACGTAAACATGCAACACTCCACCATGTTTATTGCATTCACTAATGACGTCGTCTCTAATTTCTATGTCCCAGTTCGGATTTGATTCTCTGCAATTAATAAATTTATTTTAATTGTTTTTCTTAATAAGATCAGGTAATTATTAGTAAATTTTTTTCTTTAAAGACAACTGCATTGGGAATACATTCCTGTGTCTACAAACATACATGAAACGGACATGAAGCTGAAGCTAGCCGACGGAGCTAGCCGACGGACATAGCCTGCGTAGTATATGGCACGCCCCTCAAATTGAGTTTTTTTTTAATGAACAAAGAGAGCAAACAGTCATTTTCCTGCATCAAATTACTATACAATGAACCAGGGACTTTTAAGATTAAAAAAATATATTTAAACAATCATATTAAATGAATAAACGCTGTTTATTAGCGAAAACTCGAGTTTCTTTTCTCGATGGTACATTTGTCCTAACTTTTTTCACAAAAATAGGATTGCTTTCTAATTTTGTATAGTTAATGCCTAAGTATCGTACAATAATACCAAATTACTTTTACGTTGGCAGAAAAGTTATAATTTTTATTATTAAATGAACAATCAGCCACGACTTAGGATAATTTGAACGATTCGACGAAAAATCTGATATAACTCTGTTCACAACAATAGGATTGCTTTCTAACTTTGTATAGTTAATGCCTAAGTATCATACAATAATATCAAATTACTTTTACGTTGGCAGAAAAGTTATAATTTTTATTATTAAATGAACAATCAGACATAACTTACGATAAATTGACCGATTCGACAAAAAACCTGATGTAATTCTGTTCACAACAATAGGATTGCTTTCAAATTTTGTATAGTTAATGCCTAAGTATCATACAATAATACCAAATTACTTTTACGTTGGCAGAAAAGTTATAATTTTTATTATTAAATGAACAATCAGACATGACTTAGGATAATTTGAACGATTCGACGAAAAATCTGATATAACTCTGTTCACAACAATAGGATTGCTTTCAAATTTTGTATAGTTAATGCCTAAGTATCATACAATAATACCAAATTACTTTTACGTTGGCAGAAAAGTTATAATTTTTATTATTAAATGAACAATCAGACATGACTTAGGATAATTTGAACGATTCGACGAAAAATCTGATATAACTCTGTTCACAACAATAGGATTGCTTTAAAATTTTGTATAGTTAATGCCTAAGTATCATACAATAATATCAAATTACTTTTACGTTGGCAGAAAAGTTATAATTTTTATTATTAAATGAACAATCAGACATGACTTACGATAAATTGACCGATTCGATAAAAAACCTGATGTAACTCTGTTCACAACAATAGGATTGCTTCCTAATTTTGTATAGTTTATGCCTAAGTATCGTAAAATAATACTAAATAGGTTTTACGTTGGCAGAAAAGTTATAATTTTTATTATTAAATGAACAATCAGCCACAACTTAGGATAATTTGAACGATTCGACGAAAAATCTTATATAACTCTGTTCACAACAATAGGATTGCTTTAAAATTTTGTATAGTTAATGCCTAAGTATCATACAATAATATCAAATTACTTTTACGTTGGCAGAAACGTTATAATTGTTATTATTAAATGAACAATCAGACATTACTTACGATAAATTGACCGATTCGACAAAAACCTGATGTAACTCTGTTCACAACAATAGGATTGCTTTCAAATTTTGTATAGTTAATGCCTAAGTATCATACAATAATACCAAATTACTTTTACGTTGGCAGAAAAGTTATAATTTTTATTATTAAATGAACAATCAGACACGACTTAGGATAATTTGAACGATTCGACGAAAAATCTGATATAACTCTGTTCACAACAATAGGATTGCTTTAAAATTTTGTATAGTTAATGCCTAAGTATCATACAATAATATCAAATTACTTTTACGTTGGCAGAAAAGTTATAATTTTTATTATTAAATGAACAATCAGACATGACTTACGATAAATTGACCGATTCGACAAAAAACCTGATGTAACTCTGTTCACAACAATAGGATTGCTTCCTAATTTTGTATAGTTTATGCCTAAGTATCGTAAAATAATACTAAATAGGTTTTACGTTGGCAGAAAAGTTATAATTTTTATTATTAAATGAACAATCAGCCACAACTTAGGATAATTTGAACGATTCGACGAAAAATCTTATATAACTCTGTTCACAACAATAGGATTGCTTTAAAATTTTGTATAGTTAATGCCTAAGTATCATACAATAATATCAAATTACTTTTCGGTTGGCAGAAAAGTTATAATTGTTATTATTAAATGAACAATCAGACATTACTTACGATAAATTGACCGATTCGACAAAAAACCTGATGTAACTCTGTTCCCAACAATAGGATTGCTTTATAATTGTATATAGTTAATCCATAAGTATCATACAATAATACCACATTACTTTTACGTTGGCAGAAAAGTTATAATTTTTATTATTAAATGAACAATCAGACATAACTTACGATAAATTGACCGATTCGACAAAAACCTGATGTAACTCTGTTCACAACAATAGGATTGCTTTCAAATTTTGTATAGTTAATGCCTAAGTATCATACAATAATACCAAATTACTTTTACGTTGGCAGAAAAGTTATAATTTTTATTATTAAATGAACAATCAGACACGACTTAGGATAATTTGAACGATTCGACGAAAAATCTGATATAACTCTGTTCACAACAATAGGATTGCTTTAAAATTTTGTATAGTTAATGCCTAAGTATCATACAATAATATCAAATTACTTTTAACTTGGCAGAAAAGTTATAATTGTTATTATTAAATGAACAATCAGACATTACTTACGATAAATTGACCGATTCGACGAAAAACCTGATGTAACTCTGTTCACAACAATAGGATTGCTTTCAAACTTTGTATAGTTAATGCCTAAGTATCATACAATAATACCAAATTACTTTTACGTTGGCAGAAAAGTTATAATTTTTATTATTAAATGAACAATCAGACACGACTTAGGATAATTTGAACGATTCGACGAAAAATCTGATATAACTCTGTTCACAACAATAGGATTGCTTTAAAATTTTGTATAGTTAATGCCTAAGTATCATACAATAATATCAAATTACTTTTACGTTGGCAGAAAAGTTATAATTTTTATTATTAAATGAACAATCAGACATGACTTACGATAAATTGACCGATTCGACAAAAAACCTGATGTAACTCTGTTCACAACAATAGGATTGCTTCCTAATTTTGTATAGTTTATGCCTAAGTATCGTAAAATAATACTAAATAGGTTTTACGTTGGCAGAAAAGTTATAATTTTTATTATTAAATGAACAATCAGCCACAACTTAGGATAATTTGAACGATTCGACGAAAAATCTTATATAACTCTGTTCACAACAATAGGATTGCTTTCAAATTTTGTATAGTTAATGCCTAAGTATCATACAATAATACCAAATTACTTTTACGTTGGCAGAAAAGTTATAATTTTTATTATTAAATGAACAATCAGACACGACTCACGATAAATTGAACGATTCGACGAAAAATCTGATATAACTCTGTTCACAACAATAGGATTGCTTTCAAACTTTGTATAGTTAATGCCTAAGTATCATACAATAATACCAAATTACTTTTACGTTGGCAGAAAAGTTATAATTTTTATTATTAAATGAACAATCAGACATGACTTACGATAAATTGACCGATTCGACGAAAAACCCGATGTAACTCTGTTCACAACAATAGGATTGCTTTCAAATTTTGTATAGTTAATGCCTAAGTATCATACAATAATACCAAATTACTTTTACGTTGGCAGAAAAGTTATAATTTTTATTATTAAATGAACAATCAGACACGACTTAGGATAATTTGAACGATTCGACGAAAAATCTGATATAACTCTGTTCACAACAATAGGATTGCTTTAAAATTTTGTATAGTTAATGCCTAAGTATCATACAATAATATCAAATTACTTTTACGTTGGCAGAAAAGTTATAATTTTTATTATTAAATGAACAATCAGACATGACTTACGATAAATTGACCGATTCGACAAAAAACCTGATGTAACTCTGTTCACAACAATAGGATTGCTTCCTAATTTTGTATAGTTTATGCCTAAGTATCGTAAAATAAAACTAAATAGGTTTTACGTTGGCAGAAAAGTTATAATTTTTATTATTAAATGAACAATCAGCCACAACTTAGGATAATTTGAACGATTCGACGAAAAATCTTATATAACTCTGTTCACAACAATAGGATTGCTTTAAAATTTTGTATAGTTAATGCCTAAGTATCATACAATAATATCAAATTACTTTTACGTTGGCAGAAAAGTTATAATTGTTATTATTAAATGAACAATCAGACATTACTTACGATAAATTGACCGATTCGACAAAAACCTGATGTAACTCTGTTCACAACAATAGGATTGCTTTCGAATTTTGTATAGTTAATGCCTAAGTATCATACAATAATACCAAATTACTTTTACGTTGGCAGAAAAGTTATAATTTTTATTATTAAATGAACAATCAGACATGACTTAGGATAATTTGAACGATTCGACGAAAAATCTGATATAACTCTGTTCACAACAATAGGATTGCTTTAAAATTTTGTATAGTTAATGCCTAAGTATCATACAATAATATCAAATTACTTTTACGTTGGCAGAAAAGTTATAATTTTTATTATTAAATGAACAATCAGACATGACTTACGATAAATTGACCGATTCGATAAAAAACCTGATGTAACTCTGTTCACAACAATAGGATTGCTTCCTAATTTTGTATAGTTTATGCCTAAGTATCGTAAAATAATACTAAATAGGTTTTACGTTGGCAGAAAAGTTATAATTTTTATTATTAAATGAACAATCAGCCACAACTTAGGATAATTTGAACGATTCGACGAAAAATCTTATATAACTCTGTTCACAACAATAGGATTGCTTTAAAATTTTGTATAGTTAATGCCTAAGTATCATACAATAATATCAAATTACTTTTCGGTTGGCAGAAAAGTTAT